CCTACCTGCCGTCGATATATCTTCTTAACGACGACATTCCTGTCATAGACAATAATGAGAAAAGAACAACATCCACGTACCTGAAACTTGTGCAGATCTTTGTTACACTTGACTATAAACTTGTGCTGGTGACCTCTGTCCCTCCCTTTAGTCTTGGGATATTCCACAGTCGTCGTTCTGTCCAGCTTCAGGTAGCCGAGCTGTCGAGGAATGTACAAGACAAACACTGAGCGAGAAACAAGACGTCTTGTGATTGTCGCCAGGCGCTGCTTGCTCTCGTTTTGACGTAATACAAATGAACCCAGACTATTTCTGTTCGGATGGGTCCATTCACAATCCGGGGGAGGCACAGGTTGCTCTTACTAGTACAGGTGCTGTCTGTTGTCCAAAGCTTTATTAAGATAAAGACGTGGGACATCGCAAATAGCATCTGAGTACTTAATGAATGGGGAACCTTGATAAATTGGGACAATGAAAAGATGATTGAATTAAGAGACGAAATAGCAGGCCCAGGGGAGGTGGCACTGAGTTAGAAATGTTCAGCCTCGATTAGATTTCATCTACATGTACAGTTTGATTGGCCAGCGGCAAGTTACTAGTAATAACCTCACGTCCCGTCCAATACACCGACACCTCGTATATGGTTTTACGTTACATAACTGTCGGTTAGGCCACACCAAGTAAATTTTATGGATGACGTCCGCGCGCGCATTGATTTTGGCCTCTTCCTAGAAAAAAAACAAGAAATTTCGCTTCCTGTAACTATGACCAAAGAGTCACGACAATGCCGCAAATCGTCGGATTGACGGGAAACCCGTAACGCGAAGAAAGGGTCTATTGACAGGACCATCCTGTCAATAACAGAAAAATTGCACTATTGACAGGACCATCCTGTCAATAACAGAAAAATTGCACTATTGACAGGACAATAACAGAAAATTTTTCACTGTCCACTGTTCCACCTGATTTATTGCTGTTTTGATGATGAATAAAAGACTTCTTGCTTGTTACACTCTGTCACCTCATTCAATTTGTGTCCTGACATTTGTCGTCTCTTAGTATATTTCTAATCTAGGCATCTTGTTTTTTAGGGCCCTTCTTTTTTTTCGCCCTTTCGCATTAGATTTAGGGTCTCCAAAGGACGTCATCCATAAAATTTACTTGGTGTGGCCTTATGTAACAGTTAAATGATCTTAATCATACCTAGCGACTGTCGCAGCTCGAAGCTCTGGTTTCATTATTATTGCACAGTAACAGCTATTGTACTAATGTTTTGTAAGTCTGATAAAATTGCAACTAAATGGACTTATAACTGGTGTTTTTGTACAACTCGGCGTGAATATACCCTGGTTCCTAAACATTATATACAAGAATGGGACCTCGTTGCAAAAATTGTTGGTTGCCCACAGATAAGACCGAAGTGAAACCGTGCATTGCCCTTCAACTAGCTAGACGGAAAAAACATCATGCTTCGCCTCATGATGAGTTGAGGATGCCTGACTTACTTTTAAGTAACAAAGGCGTGGTCACATTCGCCGTAGTACATCGTAAAATAAGATTTCGTTATTGTTACGTATTTCAAGCAGGCTGTGACAGAATCAACTCCCGATTGGAGTCCCAGGCAGCTTTCTCTGAAACTAAATTTGGTACGACACACGCACGACTATTCCAAGAATGTCATACGACGATCGCACAACAAATGCATGCCCGTAGCCAGGGGGGGTTCGGGGGGTTCGGAAGAACCCCCCACAAGGCTCAAAGGTCCACTTTTTGGTCCACTTTTTATGTAAAGGTCCAAGAGTTTTCTTGAAAAAGATGGACTGGAATCGTAGAAAAACTGCTCCCTTTGTCACTGATAAAAACTTATCTCCGATTTTTCTTTGAAATCCTCTCAAAAACGCACGAAATGCCATTTTAGAAGGTTCATTTTTCAAAATTTTCCGGGGGAGCATGCCCCGGACCCCCCTAGGAACCTCGGCGCTCGAGGTCCCCTTAAGCAGTCGGAAGAACCCCCCCATTCAAAATCCTGGCTACGGGCATGAAATGTGACCGGGTCCTCACCTGTAATAAACACATATGCCGCTTGTCAGACTTATTAGATACCTGCTAACCCTGGAGTCCCTTCCAAGAACGCCCTGTCGTTTCCCTGAGTGTTTGTCTCACACAACACTCCCACGCTCGGACATAGATAGGAATAGATAGGACAGTCTCACGTTCCAGTACAAGCTGCGTTCTGTTCGTTTGCAGTGTACCGTGGTAATCCCCGACCCAGTCAACCTTACAGGAGACATACACCGCTTACAAGGCGATGGGACTGTTATATCCAGAACCGTCCTTTCTCCAGGACCCTGCGCAGACACACGGTTCTGGATGGTTCACCCTAATCCAGAACCACCCCTGGGGCTAATGTACGTTCTTGGAAACGCGTAGCATGCCTGATGCTAACCCTAAACTATAACAAGCAATGAGAACTAGATAGAAACATAACGGTTCTAGATAAGATACGGACGCCTCAAAAGAAATTTGGTTAGCTAGGGCAATTTATGAATAATATAATACGAACATTGCCTGGAAGAAAAGAACACACTGAAGGATTTTACCACGTGTTCGTCTTGTCTCTCTGGGTGATAGAAAAACATGACGTCTGCCTTTAACTCCGCCCAGACTCTCTGATAACCCTGCAAAATAGAGCCAAAACGTGACAATTACATGGTCACAGCAATGATATGCTGAAAAATCAAAAGTATCATACTGATTATCATAAAAAGAATCCTTTATCGCGTGCTGTAAATTTTGAAATTTTCTCGATGGTTTTAAGTTCGTGTATTTCGCGACCATTATTCCACAGTTGTTAATACTACCATTGTTTTGCCGCGATACAAAGATACAATTGAAATGAACTCTTCCTTTTCACCGCGCAGTGAAATTTAAGTGCTTCGAACATGTATTTACAGTATACAAAACACCACGGTACTTCCAACTAGGAAACGCTTTGTTATTTCAGTGGTCTAAGAAGACAAACAACAAGTGCCTCTGCTATCGGGTTACTCTGCTGTCTGTTGTCACCCATGTCGCTTGTAAATAGAGCGAGCCACGGAACGTTCTACAGTACAATGGCACATGTAAGCAGGACAAAGTTTAAACAAGAATTGCAGAGAGCCATTGAAGAGAAATAAGTATTGAATTGGCTTTGGAGTGATGGAGACTTATATAATTTACGAGTAGCAGCACACGGGAACACAGCCTATTATTAGAGAAGAATACAAAGTGGAGGTATTGTCGTGCGAATTTGTCTCTCTCAGTCGCTTTCCGAGACAACTGCGTCATTCCAATCCCAAATTGAGATGATAATGTCTATCGTGTAACTTTGTTTGGTTTAAAACTTGCACCTGGTAAAGGCGTTCTTTCAATTCATATTTTCACTGAGCTTCCTGCATGGTTAACCTTTCTCTAAATACAAACCAAACTCTGACATTTTGACGCGCCCTGTCTAATGATATGGAGCACGAGACAGCCATCCTGGTCTAAGCGTTACTTTCAAATGTTATAATTCCGGTTACGGTTCAATAGGTACAGAGTGCTGACTTTATATTAGGCCACACCCCATTTTGTATATGATTAAAATACCACCCAGACAGGACAGGAGTAGGCTAGATCTAGTCTCCACTTGACATATATGAGGATTTTAATAAGGAAAATTCTTATTCTGAAACACAACTGTCCCAAACGGTTGGTATTCATACATCATTGCACACAGAGCGGTAGCTATAGTGGCCACCCCGGGGATTACCTGTGAATCAAAGCCTGGAGTAAAAACAACCCTGACCTACGCACGCAAGGTGGCTCGTAATCAGCAATAAGTATTAGTGTACTATTCACTCAAACCACCACAAAGTCTCTGAATACTAGCAAAAAAAGTAACTCCTTTGAAAGAAGTAGGGTAGCCGGTTTTAGATGGTTTTTAGCTGTTTGCCTTTATGGTTCACTTGGCGAAGACATTTCATGCCTGCAATGTAGTGGAATGCCACACAAGGAAACGGACGACGTTACTTCGTTTAGATCGCATGCTTGCAAAGTGCAGATCAAGCCATCTGAACGTTATTCACACAGGCACGCCCGCTTAAGTGTTTATACGTATTGCACGGGACATGGAAGGTGAAGGTGATGTCTTATAGTTATAAACACTCCGACTCACCGACTTGAACTTTTTCTCCAGAAATCCCTCGTGATATTTGGGCAGATCTGGGTTGACGTTGGTGGCTACTCGCCAAGGGGAGGCTGCCGAGGCTCGCCGGTCGTCCGGTCGCCAGGTAGTCATTGTCATGAATACTTAAATCTCTCTCAAATCTTTAAGAATGTTCTAGGACGAGTCTCCGGTGACTTGGTACTCAGACATACTCGCAAATATACCCGGAAACGAAATGCGTGCAGCTAGCCGCATATTTGCATAACAAAAGCACGCGAGGAACCGCACAAATACCATGGGTCAACGTACTCTCCAAGCAGAGGTTAGGCTGCTTTTGAACGATTCTAGACGTTTTGTCGGGCGTTCTGGAGTTTGTCAGCTTTTCAGTACTGCATGAACTGGCCGCCCGCGGAGCTACACGTTATACATGTATTTGGTCGATTCGATTTGCTCGAATTTGAACGCTGAATAATCTTTGCTTTTCTACAGCGAGGAATGATACAGATACATGCACTATACTACATGATGTGCACGTGGTCGGCCATTTCTTCCGTCATCTTAGGGCGTGACGACTTTAAAAATGTGTTTACTGACCTCATTAAATACAATAGAGTCAGAGACAAGTGTTGTTTGTTTGCTGTGATTGCAGATCAGATTGGTTTATTTGCTTTAGACTCTGCATTACGAGGTTATATCGCTAGGGCGCATTGTATAACGCCTCCACTGCAAGCGAGTGAAAACTATCGAACGTTGTCACCTCTAACTGAACCTTCTCCCTCTCCTTGTCTCTTTCACCTAACAAATTTTATGAGCATCCAAACTAATCTTATATTTTGATACAAATCACATACGATAAGGACAATCACAATACATTTTATTAAAAGCATCATAAAACACACTAATGGAACATTTGTCATATTCATGCCAATATAATATCCCATAGAACACTATTCAAGGATTGGACAGCAAAGTGGCTTAAGCACAAATTCCCACACGCACTTTGAGAATTGATACCGTAATGTATGTAATTTATGTCTCCTAAATCTTCCATGCTGCTAGTACCTATTCTTTCTGTGTGTGTTGTCATAAGATAAAGTAAACTCTGTAGACTCAAAGTTACCGTTAACTTGGCATTGTGTTATACGTAGTTAAAAATTTGTTACAAAAGATGATGGAGCTTCATTAACTAAACCAGACTAATACACTGTCCGAACCCTTGTCTCTCTGAGTAAAGAGACATATTGTACGTTTGGAATGCATCTATAGCAGCGACACCTGTGCTGCAGTGCAATGTGAACCAGTCAGAATTGCCCTGAGGAAGGTGACCGAAACGTCGGCTGAATAAAAGACATGGTTGTGTAAAAAGAGTCTCTTTACTCAAGACTAATACATGCCAGTTACAATGTACACACTGTGATCTGGAACGACCCAGAAGAAACAGTAAATAATGGCCTTCGTGAGGTCACAAGGGTCTCTTTTTGCACGCAATATATATTGTGCGAGTACTCGAGAGCTTAAAATGTCAAAGATGGTTGCGGGGTCATAAATTGCGTGGAAGCCATGTCTTATGCGATTATATCACTGAAGGTCGTTTCATATGCCCTAATCCATGTTTATGCCCCCTGTTAATCCATGCTTTTCATTATCTAGAACACACAAAAGGAGATTACTTCACCGGTTATATATATATATATATATATATATCATTAATGCAGGACAACGACTGCCCAATATCTTCTCTTGTCGCATGTAGAGAAAACGCGAGTTACTCTGTTTCGAATCATCTGCTACATGTACAAAGCTGCAGAGTCTACTAAATGTGAATAATATGGATAACAATAGTTCTAGCGACACAGCCAACGCCACAGCCCGGTACGAAGACCCTCTGCAGACAACTTTGCTAGGCAGACTTCTCCAGCTGTGCTGGCTGGTCCCGTCCTTGGTGCTGATTCTCGGCCTCAACTGTCTCTTCCTTGTCGCCATCCTGCGGACCAAGAAGCTGTGGCGGCCGCGATTCGTCCTTCCCGCCAGTCTCTGCGTCCTGGACATCATCCAAGGCAGCCTCTTCATCCCCAGCTCGGTGGTCAACATCGTCATGGGAGGAAACTCCAACCCTGTCTGGTTCTGTTGGACGCAGGCTAGCTACTTTTACATAGGCTCTGTCTGTACTCTGTCTACTCTAACACTGATGGCCTGGGACCGATACCAAGCCATCTGTAACGCCATTCAGTACCAAATAAACCGACCGTTACAGTGCCTTTGTGCAAAGGTTGCTACTCTTTGGACTTTTGCCATTCTACTTGCTACGTTTTACGTTATCGCGATTTACAGAAAATTAGCAGTAGCTGACAATGTTTCTGTTACATACCCTTTCTGCACTCTACTAGACTTGAGTCTGCAAGTAGACTTCGCTGACAAACGCCTGACGGCGATTTCTGCAACATACGAAATATTTTGCATCTCAGCGATCTGTTTTTCGTATGGCAAAGTCTATCTGGAAACAAAGGGCAATCAGAGGAGACGCACGCGGAATGGATTGCCACGCAGACATCTCGCAGACACACGGAGGTACACAAGAAACCTGCGAACGGAAATGACAATTTCATCGCAACTGATAGTTCTTTTGACATTCTTAGTCCCTCGCTACATCGTTATGTCCCTGTATGTTTCACCTCCATGGGAAGGAACAAGATTGGAGATGTTGATTACTAAACAAGTATCACTGTTACTGTACATGACCGTGCCTTGCTTCAGCAATCCAGTCATCTATGGTTTAAACAGCAAGGACGTGCAAAACGCGGTGGCGAAGATATGTGGATCGAATTTAAATCATTGGGCTATAAGAAAGAAAAACGTCTACGAAGTTTGTCGATCAAGAGCATCGTCTAAAAACGGAGAAGCAATCCGGAACCGTGTCAGGATGGAGCAACTTTGTCATCCGCAAATAACAACCTTATCGATAACCAAACGAAATGACCAGAAATAGACAGAGAGATATTGTAAATGGTACAATGATCAGAGCTGTCGATCTACTCCCAGTTTTCTCACTTCTAAGAACTGTAATAATTAACGTTCTGCAACGTTTTAAGCTCATGTTTCTTACCTATGTGTATGTATGAGATGACAATAAAAACGGACATAGTTAACACTTCATGGTCTATCTTATCATTTCTACCAATTGATATCTTAATCCAGACGCGCGATCACGCGCATGTGCGTATATATGTGTGACCCCGTATCGGCAACAGCCGTAATATGGATAATGATAAAGTGTACGTTGTAAGAAAAGGCAAAATTGATTCTCAATTCTTAAGTCATGGAAATAAATAAACATCCCTGTATGGTATGACATCATTTCTTGCGCAGCTGCATAGTCTATAGTTGAGCTTTACGTCTACCATTTAAAATTAACTTTCCAACACAAAGAATGACACCTTCTGCTGGAAAGGAAAAATGTCATACATGTGTAAACTGTAAACAAAAGTGTGCCACAGCGCGGCAATTAAATACACAATAGTTATTACAAATCTTCGCTGAGAAGCACCATCGCAACCTTGTCCTTGAGGCTCCCTGAGTTACACAACCTTTTAAGTCTTATTCGGAAATTCGAAATTCGAAATTAACCATAAGGCAATGTGTAATTATTCAACATACAGCGTTATTTGCGTTAATGTGTTTCCCAGATCCAATAAAAGCATAACAACTTAAACAAGCGCTTTGTAGATCTGGTCTTGGTATGACCCAATGAAAACAGTAAAGCATGTCGTGCGGTAATAAGGATTTGTGTTTGCACGCAACATATATTGTAGGAGTACTCGAGTGTTTGGTACTCAATAAGTCGTCAGAGAATTCTTGAACCGCCAAAGGTGAGTTCGTGTTTGCGGTGTCAGGTATTGCGTGGAAACCATGTGTAATGCCATTATTAGAATACGGGTCATTCCAAATGAGTGAACGAGCTAATGCATGCTGACGTCGTGCAAACAACGGGAGCTTATTTCGCCAGTGAACCTCGTTTGACATAGGAAAACGTCAACCAAATCTTTTTCATCGTTACTGCAAACCATTGACAAACAGGACTGAGATACGTGCAAAGAGCCAGGACGGATTCCTCTGTTTCCATTCATCGCTAATATCCAAGCTTTAGGGTACAATCAACATGTCTAACATGCAGAACGACACAGCCAACGCCACAGTCCGGTACGAAGACCCTCTGCAGACAACTCTGCTAGGCAGACTTCTCCAGCTGTGCTGGCTGGTCCCGTCCTTGGTGCTGATTCTCGGCCTCAACTGTCTCTTCCTTGTCGCCATCCTGCGGACCAAGAAGCTGTGGCGGCCGCGATTCGTCCTTCCCGCCAGTCTCTGCGTCCTGGACATCATCCAAGGCAGCCTCTTCATCCCCAGCTCGGTGGTCAACATCGTCATGGGAGGAAACTCCAACCCTGTCTGGTTCTGTTGGACGCAGGCCAGTTTCTCCTACGTAGGCGCTGTCTGCACTCTGTCTACTCTAACACTAATGGCGTGGGACCGATACCAAGCCATCTGCAACGCCATTCAGTACCAAATAAACGGACCACTACAATGTCTTTGTGGTAAAATTGCTTCCGTTTGGACTTGGTCCATCTTACTTGGTGCGTTTCACGTTTTTATAGTGTACGGACAATTAGCAGCACCCGACGACATTGCTGTTGCATACCCTTTCTGCTCTCTACTTGAATTGAGTCACCAACTAGACTTCTTTGACAAACGCCTGACGGCGATTTCTGCAACATACGAAATCTTTTGCATCGCAGTGATCTGTTTTTCATATGGCAAAGTGTATCTGGAAACAAAGGGCAATCAGAGGAGACGCACGCGGAATGGATTGCCACGCAGACATCTGGCTGAAAGGCGAGGGTTCACAAGAAGCCTGAGAACGGAAAGGACAATTTCATCACAACTTATTATGCTCTTGATGTTCTTAGTCCCACGCTACACCGCTCTGTGTCTGTATGTTTCTCCTTCATGGGAAGGGAAAAGATTGGAGATGTTAATTACTAAACAAGTATCACTGTTACTGTACATGACCGTGCCTTGCTTCAGCAATCCAGTCATCTATGGTTTAAACAGCAAGGACGTGCAAAACGCGGTGGCGAAGATATGTGGATCGAATCATTGGACAAGAAAACGGGAAAACGTCTACGACGTGTCTCGGCCACAAGCATCGTCCAAAGACGGAGTAGGCATTACGAATCATGTCAGGATGGAGCAAGTTTGTCACCAGCAAATAACAACCTTATCGATAACCAAACGAAATGACCAAATGTAGACAAACAGAAGGACTTTGTAAAATCATCAGAGCTGTCAATCTGCTCTTTCTGCCTCCTGAACTGTTATGATTAACGCTGTAAACATTTAACTCATGTTTCTTACCTATATACGTATACCATGAAAATGAAAACGGACAAGGTCAACTCTTCATGGTCTGTCTTATCATTTTTTTTACCAACTGATACTTTGATACTTTAGGCTTGACGCGCGCAAACGTGCGTGTGTGTGTGTGTGTGTGTGTGTGTGTGTGTGTGTGTGTGTGTGTGTGTGTGTGTGTGTGTGTGTGTGTGTGTGTGTGTGTGTGTGTGTGTGTAGTAGTAGAGTAGTGTGTGTGTGTGTGTGTGTGTGTGTGTGTGTGTGTGTGTGTGTGTGTGTGTGTGTGTGTGTGTGTGTGTGTGTGTGTGTGTGTGTGTGTGTGTGTGTGTGTGTGTGTGTGTGTGTGTGTGTGTGTGTGTGTGTGTGTGTGTGTGATAACGAGAGTAAAATTTGCCGAGAGTTACCCTTGGTTGACAAAAATGACACTTTTTCTATTAGACAACCTTCTGGAGAATGTTTTGATGACAAAAACATGACGAAAAGAATTACTTTTTTTCTGATTTTTTTACATGTTGACACACATCATTGAAGTTCCATAGTCCATAGGACATGACAAAAGCTGTCTACGATTACGTCATGACAGCACAATGCCACACAAAATAAAATGGATAATAATAAAGTGTATATTATCAAAAAAGGCAAAATTGGTTCTCAAAATAAAGTAATAAATATGAAGATAAATCTGTGTATGATATAACACCGCCCATGCGTAGCTGCATAGTCTATAGTTTCCGTGATGGCAGCGTCAAGTCTACCAATCAAAATAACAAGGGCTTCAGACCTGTCATATCAAAGAAAGAATGACGCACTAGTGCTGGAGGAGTATGCCAAGCATGGTTAAAATGTCAACAAAAATGTGTAAACTTACCACACTGCGGCAACAAAGTAAACAATAGTTATTACAAATCCTCTTTGACAAGCACCATTGCAACCGTGGGGCCTTTATAGTTTCAAAAAGTAATTATAGATTTGCCATCAAGAATACTTTTGTATTTCAACCAGACCAATACCAGCCAGTTATACAGGGTTATTTGCTTTATATTTTTTATGAATTCCAACAAAATCGTGAAAGGTGCTTCACAGATCTGACCTTGGTATGACCTCAAAAGACAATAATGGCTGTCGTGCGGTAACAAGGATTTGTGTTTGCACGCAACATATATTGTAGGAGTACTCGAGTGTTTGGTACTCAATAAGTCGTCAAAGAATTCTTGAACCGCCAAATGTGCTTTTGTGTTTGCCGTGTCGTGTATTGCGTGGAAACCGTGTCTAATGCGATTATATAAGTACATAAGTACAAGTCTCTCCATATGAATGAACGCGCAAATGCATACTGGCGTTGATAGAAACAGACCGCGTGCGAGCTTAAGTAGCTTATTTGTCCCGTGAACCTCGTTTGATATTGGAAAACGTCTACCAAATAAATGCCCTTTCCTGTCACCGAAACCCACTGACAAACACAGCTGAGACACGTGCTAAGAGCGAACACGAATTCTTTCGTTTCCAACCATCTGTACAAAACGTAAGGGTACAAACGACCATTCCGAAATGGAGAACGACACAGCCAACGCCACAGCCCGGTACGAAGACCCTCTGCAGACAACTTTGCTAGGCAGACTTCTCCAGCTGTGCTGGCTAGTCCCGTCCTTGGTGCTGATTCTCGGCCTCAACTGTCTCTTCCTTGTCGCCATCCTGCGGACCAAGAAGCTGTGGCGGCCGCGATTCGTCCTTCCCGCCAGTCTCTGCGTCCTGGACATCATCCAAGGCAGCCTCTTCATCCCCAGCTCGGTGGTCAACATCGTCATGGGAGAAAACTCCAACCCTGTCTGGTTCTGTTGGACGCAGGCTAGCTTCTTTTACGTGGCGTCTTGCTGCTACTCTGTCTACCCTAACACTTAATGGCTTGGGACCGCTACCAGGCCGTCTGCAATGCGCTGCATTATAGAGAACAGATAAGTCTGACGCGTCTTCTGGTAAAGATTGTCGCCGTCTGGACATTGTCCCTTCTACAAGCTTTATTTTATATCGTAGGCATTTACATACATACAAACAATCTCAACATTGTCGCCCCTTTCTGTACATTACCGGAACTAAGCACCCGGGGAAACGCCGAGAAGCGTTACTACATTATCTGGGTCGTCTGTGAGTTGACTTGCATCGCAGTGATCTGCCTCTCCTATTGCAAAGTTTATCTAGAGACGAAAAAGTATCAGAGGCGGCAACGGCAGTTTGTAGCGCACAGGCGGTCCTATAACAGCCAGACATCTCAGGGAAATAAACGGACAGAACGAACCATTTCAGCGCAAATCACTGTCCTGTTCGTGTTTCTGATCTTTAGATACATTCAGATCGGCATCTCTCTCATCGCGGCATCGGAGGACCAGAGACTGTCGGTGCTCATCGTCAAACGCACTTCGCAGTTCATGTACCTGACCGTGACTTGCTTCAGTAACCCGGTCATCTATGGCCTCGGCAGTAAGGAACTACAGACCGCCGTGCGAAAGATATGTTGTGGGAAACCGGACGTCAAAAGTCCTATGACAAGAAGGGGAGACGTTGTTGAAATGTCTCGCTCAAGGGGAGCGCAACAAGACTCGGGTTTTGCCAGTCAGTGCGTTGGAACTGTACATACTGCTGAACTCCCACCACCATCGTTCATACGGCTGTCGACAATGAGTATAGACACGTGCGAAGGTCTGCCAGAGAGAAAGGGACTTGTTTCTGTCGCAAAGGAAGACGAACAAGTTAGAGGAGAGAACAACGTCGCGTTTGAACATATTACCTCATCTTTATAACACGATTATTGCCGAGGAGTATTTGAGAATCCTCTTGTTAAGACTTTGGCTTCATTGTATTATTAGTCTAATGTAATGTGCGTTAATTAATGACGACGGCAAGGTGACCTACTCCTGCCTGAAGAAGCACTGAAAAATGTCTGTACAGTGAGATTGTTTATTGCACGATATACCAGAATGGCACACATGAACAAGAACATACAATACATGCCTCATGTCTCGAGCTGTCACATTGCTTGTACTGTATAACCTGCAAACTTTCTACAATCACTATAATCTGCCTTGTAGCCCCGTGAGTCTGCGTCCAGCGATATGTGAATACATGTGATCTGGTCAGCTGGTATGTGTTATAATGTAAAGATTGGAATATTGTACTAGCTGTCGATGCTGACTTATGGAATCATAGGGCCAATCTTTGTACTTGCTAATATCTACTTTAGCTAGTGTGCCACAAAATATGATAAGATTGTCAATACTGAACTTTAACCCCATAGCTTGGTCAAAACATCCGTTTCTGAGCCTCTGTATTTTCATTTGCTATTGCTGCATCCATATACATGTATATTGTACATTCAAATATATATCAATATGTATCAATATACATAATAAAATACATGTATTAGCACACCATATATGCAATGTGTCTTTATACAATATGATCTTTAGACGAGACTGAAAGTTACAGCAGCATTCCTAACTCCCGCCATTGTTGCCCTCCGCGTCCATACCCAAGACCCGCCTCTCTATGGAGAAATCATAGTTAGCCTCTGCCAGAACGGCGGCTGATTTGGAGAGGCCAGCTTGGCTGTACTGCACAGGAAGGCACACCTAGAAGTAGAAAGGATAGTCGAAAGGTTAAAGCTGAGTTTACTAGATTCAATCTGTATCTGTATCTAGCTGTGTGCCCTGACAAGGGATTGTGAGACATATGTGCATTAGGTTTCGGCCTGACAATGCCATTTTCTGTCTAGTGAACCAGAATTTCTGACACACTTCTGAACATGACTGTGAATTTTGCCCTCTCTGTGGTAAATGATATAACGTTACAATTAACAAAATTCTGTCTTTAAACTACTTGGTCCGATCGAGTGTACTTGAAACCGTCAATAAATAAATAAAGCCACTCGCTTAGATAGAACCTCGTCCGTTCTGAGAGCATGCTAGCTACCTAAGACAATGCAAAAACGTCATTTGTTTAGCAATACCTTACTGGTTGGAGCTACTGAAGGAGACAGTTTCATCTCGACTCCCTGCAGGGCGTAACTGTCATGGCTGCCTGCCAGGGCGTCACCTGCGTGGGGAGGGGCGGATACGGATAGCAAAGAAACAGAACATTGTCTTGTTTTCCTGACCTTCCGGGTTTATGGTAACATGTTATAAGGGGACAGAAAACGTCTTCAAGGAAATAACACGCAAAAACACGTACAGGACACGAAAATGATTTAATACGAGTGGCAAGCAGCTCTGAGGAGCTTGGTGATTATGTGACCTTGCTGACTGGAAAGGTCATGACGGTGACAAGATTAAAAGGCTAATAAGTTCGAAATACCTTCTTAAGGTTACGTAGAAGCACATCAACTATTATCTTGTAAAGTTATATAAGATATATCTCGGTTATTGCACTGTATCGTCAACAGAAACGCGAGTCTACCTTTTCTCTTGTTGCGAGTGTTAGCTAGTTTACTTCCGGGTTTGGTTATCCGGTGTATGCAACCTTCAAACGGGTTTTCCTTCTCCCGCTCCCTGCACCAGATATATTGTACATAACACGTGACTATGAAAGTATTTAATCATATACCTGCATGGTGGGCTGAAGGAACCCTTTCCCAGTGTGAATTCTGCATGGTGGGTTCAACCGAGACATAAACGTTACGCACTAAGCAGCCGAAGAAATGTTTTGAAACGCTCACTGACGCCACCTAGCTGTTCATATCAAAACTGCAGGTCGTTTGGTCTGCGAGGGGAGGCATTGTGTCGTCATCATCATGGTGGTGATGCTTCGATCTGCCGCGCGAAAATGAAGGAGACTGTGATTTTTCCTGGCTCTTCGACGGCCCGGCTGGTCAGATGGAAAGTCCAGCCGGGAGACAGCGTGTACCAGGGCACCGTCCTGGCCGTCTGCGGGGCCACAGACGAGGGTAACCGCGCTGACAACGCCGAGGAAGCGGCGGAACCGCAGGGTGGGAGGGGGGCTCATGGGAGGGAGGTAAAGATCCGAGCGGACCGTGTGGGTGTCGTGCTTCAGCTCAGGCGGGCGGTGGGCGACATCGTCTCGCCAGGGTAAGTCTTACAGGTCCCATGGGATCGCTTCGATCTATTGTCGTAGACTTGAACGTTGGATTTATCGTTACACAACACAGATCTCCAGGAGGCCAATGAAGCAGCGCGGAACTGGCTGGAGTGGATTGGCGACAAGCTATGATGATGAACCGAAAGTAGTTGTATGCACAGTTGCAGTTGTGATTTGCGAGCAAAGATCTAGAGTTTGGTTGGCCACTGTATGAAACAGGTTATAAGTGGTTGTCTTGAACAGTTAGGGTCACAGTCATTCGAACAGAAATTATGCGTGTTTCATGTGGGGTCACCAATGGCCGCGGTGTTGATGGGATTAAAACACCACGACGTTTATGGGATGTAATCACTTGTAAGATAACATCATAACCAATATGAAATGGGGACTTCTGATTGGTTGACGTCTTCTGCCTACATGCTACCATACTCATAGCTCTGTGACTCTCCACAGGACAGCTCTACTGGACATTGAGGCCAAATGTCTGCACAGGACTGTGATCTGGGACATGTGTGCTGAGTGTGGGGAGGACCTCCGGAAAGACGAGTAAGTACCCAACAACACAGACTTGGGTTTATGATAGTGTGATGAACTCACTGTAAGCTATGTGGTCACTATTCCTCAAACCTCCCTAAAGTAGAGTAGTCCACTGAAATCACTCTGGTGCATAGCCGTGGCGACTCTTGATTCGGGCTTACATTGCATTACCCTCAGACAAGAGTCGTGGAAAGATCCATTGGCAGAACTGCACATTTCCCGTTGGCTGCACGATGCTCCGTTTTTGACCCGGTTTTTTGCTGTCCCGAGCTTCCCTACAATATAACTCCACAACAGAAAAGTAGTAAAATAGCTAGTCGGCACAAGGTGGCGGCCATCTTGGATATAGTCGGGAATGTCCGCTACCGCCGTCGGGAACGCTCGGTAGCCTTTCCGGTTATAATCGGAGAGCTTTCGGTCGCGCTTCGGTAATCGTGACGCTACCGAGCGTTCCCGACGACGGTAGCGGACATTCCCGACTATAACCAAGATGGCCGCCACCTTGTGCCGACTAGCTATTTTACTACTTTTCTGTCGCGCTGTGGAATATTTAGGCTGATCTAAACATCGACAACCCGGCCAATTGTGGAGTTATATTGTAGGGAAGCTCGGGACAGCAAAAAACCGGGTCAAAAACGGAGCATCGTGCAGCCAACGGGAAATGTGCAGTTCTGCCAATGGATCTTTCCACGACTCTTGTCTGAGGGTAATGCAATGTAAGCCCGAATCAAGAGTCGCCACGGCTATCTGGTGCAAAGACTACTGCACTGGGAGCAAAGAATGAATCTCTTAAAAAGTCCAGTTTGCACTCTGCTAGAAAATATGTTACCACCTGTTCTCTCATACCATCCACATGTGTGTGGAAAATTTTCATAAGTGAATACATAAACATCACTTCTTCCTCCATTGTACCTTCCCAGTGGTCCCCCAGGCCGTTCCTCCAAGCCAGGCTCTCCCAAACCTGTGGACAGTGCAGCAGCATCGGTCAGCATGGTCCACACTGTCCCTGGCCTCAGGGTCACTCAGGAGGTCAGTTGTGTGTTCCTCTTGTTTCATTCACATATTGTAAGTAATATTGTGTATTGCAAACTATTGCCTGAGGGCTAATTGCAAGTAGTACATTTGGTAAAGGTATCTTTTTTGAGAACAAATGGCAGTTTTATAGCCTGGTATGTTGTCTTTGACTGTGATCATGTACACATGTGTCATCTTTGTAGGTATAGTCTTTGTCAAAAAGAAATGCCTATATGTTGCTTGTATGTTGGCTGTGCTCAATAGAATACCTAACACAGGAGGCAAAGTTTATGTACAAAAGAACATAAGAGTTTTAGTAGTTATCCTGCATTGTTTGCTGCATTGATGTTGTTTACATCCCCTTCTTGTCCTGTGTGTCTGCAGGAAGCCCGTCTGCTGGCTCAGCGGGAGGAGAAACAGCTACTGGACAACCGCAAACTGGTCCTGATGGTGGACCTGGACCAGACTCTTATCCACTCTGCTCAGGAGCCTGTGGATCCCAGGCTAGTCGATGGAGTCAGGGTAAGGCACTGATACTGTAGTCACAGGGGGAGAGGAGCTCTGTATATACATCTGTAAACTTTAAGCTTCTTTAACAGCCGTCCTGGTAAACATGATGTTACACACACCTTCTGACCTGACCTTTCCCGACCCCTCCCCAGGACATCTACACCCACGGGAGCCGGCCTGAGATGTTCACGCGGCTGCGGCCCCACACCAGCGACTTCCTGGAGTATGTCTCACAGTTCTACGAGCTCCACGTGTTCTCCTTCGGCAACCGCGAGTACGCCCACAAGGTCGCGACCTTCCTGGACCCCAAGGGCAAGCTGTTCTACCAGCGGATCCTGTCACGAGACGAGAGCGAAGACTTGAACCGGAAAAACGCCAACCTCAGGTGGGTGTGTATGCAATAGGTGCACTGGTGCACCTGAATAACCTAAAGATTTAGGTGCACCAAAGAAATATGAGTGTACAACATGAAATAAAGTAGAATTTGAGCAAAACCTAATTACTAACCTTGTACTGCCTGTCTTTTCTTTAGACCATGAATCTGAAAATTTATCGGCAAGTTGAAAATTTTAAACAAAGTTTTATCAATTACCTTGGCTCTAGAATGTCAGGAATATGTGGTATACTAGTGTACAGTTATACATGTAGTTCCTTTACATACGTATCCCACACAGACAAAAATAAGGTGCACAGCTCCAATTTTATATACACAAAAGCTAAAGTGTGTACATAGGCACCCTGAAGTGATGACAAAACTGATTAAGTGTAGGAGCACTTTGGATGAAGACTTTAATGACAATGACAATAATATTAATCTATATACAACTTCCTATCCTTCCAGATCCCTGTTCCCTTGCGGTGACTCCATGGTGGCCATCATCGACGATCGTGCTGATGTTTGGGACGACGCCCCCAACCTTGTTCGTGTGAAGAAGTATGAGTACTTCATGGGGGTCGGAGACGTCAACGATCCCAACGCCTCCCCGCTCCGACAAGCGAAGGTTAAACAACCTGGTAACTCTAAAGAACAGGCAGGGAAGCCAGACGACATAGAGGAGGACAAACAAGGAGGGAACAACAAAGACCTTTCTGATACAACAGACAAAACGACTGGCTTGCCGGGCAATGGGGAAAGTAAGGATGATGTCACAGAGTCAGAGTCTGGGACTCAGGACAATATGGAGGTGATTTCTGGTGAGGAGAAAACAAGTGCTACTGCTGATGGGAATGATCAGGAGCAAAACGTTAATGACACCTCTAAGACTGATACTGGGGAGGTTTCTTCCAAGGGAGGAGAGGAGGACAACTCTGAAGCGGGTTCCGAAAGAAAAGATGAGAAGTTGGTGGTCTCAACTTTAGAAAAAGTGGAAGAAAAAGACAGTTGCTCAATGGAAAAAACTGCAGAGACAGCGGATGCGAAACAGCAGACGGACACAGAGCTGGAGCCTGAAGAGGTTGGGCACATCGACGAGGACGATTATCTGCTCCATCTACAGGACATTCTTGTTCGTATCCACCACACATTTTACGAAGCGTACGACAAGTACAAGGCCGGGTCCCTGTCCAGCGCCCCCGACGTCAAACTGATCGTGCCGTTCCTGCGTAAGCAGACCCTGCGGGGAGCCGTGCTGCTGTTCAGCGGCGTGATCCCCACCAACATGGTCCCGGAGAAGTCTCCCGAGTTCCGAGCGGCGACCCTAATGGGAGCGCGCGTGGCGCGGAAGTTTGTCCCGCCCGGGAAGGACGGCGGAGTTGGCGAGCAGGACCAGGGTGGGACGACCCACCTCGTGGCGGCAAACCTGAGGACGGAGAAGGCGCGGGCGATCCAGGAGTGGAACTCACGGCGTGGGAAGAACGGCCGGGTGTGCATCGTGGACAGGAACTGGCTCTGGTGCTGCTGGGAGCGCTGGGAACACGTTGACGAGCGGCTCTTTCCCGTCATGGACAGCCCTCCCGCCGAGCGCGAGAACCTCAATGCCGGGAATGTACCACTGCTGCCGGCAGGGGAGGGCAGGCCCGGGATCACTGCAGACACACAACTGACCACCAAAGATGCTGCAAATGTTCCAGTGAGAGAAGAAGCAGACAGCTCCACACAGCAAGATAGGAACATTGAACTTAAACCTGAGTCAGACTCTGATAGACAGGAGACAGTGCAGGCTCAAAACCAACCTATGGAAACCCCTCCCTCAACTTCCCAGCCAGTTGTTCCTCAGGGGCCAGTGGAGGAAGTTGCAACCTACGATCCCCTGACGGGAAAGAGAGTCCGGAGGCATCCCTACATGTATCAGCACTACCCATACCCCCCTCAGCACGTAATGTACCCTCCCGCCCACGGCATCTATCCCACAGAGCTGGAGTTCAACCATCCCGAGATAAGGGGGGACCACAGATTCATCCCCCACCCATACCCTGAGAAACCCCACAAAGATGTGAGCTCTCCGGCAGATGGCGAAGAACCGACCTCGTCACGTGGGCCTCGGAAACGTCGGCTTTCCACAATAGCGGAGACCAACCCGCTCATGGCTTTCTCCTCTGAAGACATTGCCAACATGGATAAGGAAGTGGAGGAAGCCTTTAGTGAGGACAGTGACAGTGAGTCGGAGGGGGAGGGGGGCAGAGGAGAAGGGGGTAGGGAGGAGGACAGCAGGGATAGTGCAAGCACCAGTCGAGAGTCCTCTGACATTGGGGCGAGCAAGAAGAGGAAAAGAGAAGAGGAAGAGGATGAAGAAAACAGGTCGTCCAGCAGCAGTAGTGACTCGGAGGCTGATGAGATGGCAGCTGCACTGGAGGCAGAGTTCTTCTGATGTCTGTAGATGTAGTGTCTCTAACAGAGTAGTGTTATACTTATAGCCATTTGTGTATGTAAAAAAAGGAATTCTATGAACATGTTATATGACTGATCACTTGAAACTTGGAATGGCACAAGAAACATTTGAGGCCCATTTTTATAATGAAAATAATAATAATGAGAACATGCTCATGTTACACGCGCAACATGAAAGTTTGAATCCAGTAACAAGTTCAATTGAAAGGATTTAGATATTCTTAAAATGTTAAAGATGTTATTCCAAGTTTTTTGTGTTTTGTTATATGTAAATATGCTGATACTACATTGGACAAACCTTTCAGGTTTTGCACAGAGGGCTAGGAAGTTATTGTATCAGGAAAACTATGTTTTTATACTTATTTGTATTAAGGGCTGTTTCATCTTTAAAGGTCACAGAAGAACTAATCTTCTTCAAACTTAAGAAATGGATCAGCCAAAACGGACTTTCACTTTAGATGGTAGCTTGATGTTTCATGGAGTCTTTGAACCATAGTACTACCTCTAGCAGTTTTGTGTTCATATTCCACAGTAGGGACCAACTACCATTAAGGTTGGCTAGAGAAAGCAGCAAGACTTAGTACTTTTTTTCTACAGCATGTTAAGTCTCTACAATTCTTTCATTGATACAAGTTTTGGATACAAATATATCTTTGCAATACAATGAAGTGTTATTATGAGTTGCATTTTTGTACATACCATCTGAATTACCATAACTTTTTTACTGTTTGATGATCAGTAAATGATCCCCTTTATACATTTTGTGCTCAAGGCTTTTAAGAAATGGACCACGAATGGGTTAACAAAAAAAACAAGTTGTATAGAAAATGTTTAAGGAAGAAAAGCACAAAAGAATAGAAATAGAGAAACTTTTGACCTGACCTTTAAAAACGCTAACAAACATATTCACATAATCTACGCAGTCTGTCCTGCTCTGCCTATAATGGTTCAGGAAAAACAGGAGTGGCATAACAACTAGGAAAAAAAGAAAAGGACAAAATTGGATGTGAAACTGCTGTCTTGTCCTTTTTTCTGTACCAGTTCTGTCGTTGCGTCATAATGGCCGAGTGGTAAGCTAAGGCTAGCAGACACCACCGACAAGGCATGGCTGAGATTCCCGGCTAGATGTTCCCATTCCCCACTCCAGGCAGGCGCAGGTGCAAATCAAATAAAATACGTTACGCTTCGTGTTTGCTATATTATATTTGTATTTTCAAACATAAACGTTTTACAGAAAAGAAAAGAAGGTGCAACTTAAGTCTCTGGAGTTACAATAGCTGGATTGTCTATCACTAAAGAGTGACTTACCAAGGAAACTGATTTAAGTTTTCTTGCTCACATTTTAAGTTTGCACGCAAATGCTTTGAGAAAATATTTATTAGTTCCTAGTATAAAATCACACAATAGATATTTACTTGCATGAAATGAAGTTACATTAATATAGTGCATGTCCTCTGTACCTCCACTAGGCACATGGCGTTTCGGAGCACACTAGTACTGTAGTCACCAAAATGGAAAATGATGTATCACAACAGCTAGCTAGTCCGAGGCATGTATAGCTTCACCTGCACACAAAGAAACACTGTGACACCGTTTGGCGAATTAACGAGAACTTAAAAGTATAAAGTTCATACCAAACTACATATAGTACATGTCAGCCAGACAGATCATGTTCAGCTTCTGAAAGCTCCATTGTTCAAGCCTCCGTTTTTTTCGGAAACCTGAACCTGTATGATCCTAGTCCTAGGACGCCGGGCTTTGCTCAGGCAGCCCAGCAGCCGCATCCACAGGTACTCCCACACCTCCAGGATGGTCAGCAGACTGGCGCCGATGAACAGGCCCATCATCCCGCCTATGTTACCTACAGGGTGGGAAGATTTATCGTACAAATTAGAGTACGATACTAGTAGTAGGAAGAAGAGAAGGTATCGTATGCGGAACCATACCCGTGTGTAGCTGTATGCGAAATCTGGTTGTCATTTCTCCGGTGCCCCTACGTTTAGATAATTAGACTGAGGAACACCTACACATCATCAGGTGACATTGACACGAAAACAATCGTTATATTTGAAGGATGGTTCGGAGCTGAAAAAAATCAAAGTTACTGTTCTGCTTATTCTTTTGTGTAATTAAGTTCAGCGGAAATGTCAGGAACTTCTACATACTTGCTAGCTGTCCCCCGTCCATAGCTTTCAGCTCCCGGACTCTCTCATAATTCAGTTGTTCGTAGAAGACGCTGAAGACGACACCATTTTCCCTGAAACAAACAACGGGCAATCAACACGGAACGAAGATGGAAAGTTCTGTGAAAGTTAGAAGGTATGTGTGTAGATGTGTGTGTGTGTTGTTGTTGTTTGTGTGTGTGTGTGTGTGTGTGTGTAGTGTGTGTGTGTGTGTGTGTGTGTGTGTGTGTGTGTGTGTGTGTGTGTGTGTGTGTGTGTGTGTGTGTGTGTGTGTGTGTGTGTGTGTGTGTGTGTGTGTGTGTGTGTGTGTGTGTGATTTAATGTTCCCTTAAGTGCTATGAGTGTTCCGTGTATTTTACACATACTCGTAATTTTGACCTCACCTCATGTAGTCTTTGGTTTGGGAGTAAGTCCGGACGATGTAGTCTTTGGTGAGTTTGTTGGGCCACCCCGAGTAGGACACGGACGTGCTGTACTTGGTCATGCTGCAGGGTACGGGACAATTACACTTCAGCTCCCCAGACGTCACCTTCGCTGTTAGAATGAAAAAAAAACATTACACAATTTGATCAGTCTCCTGTTCTCCAACCATGAAAGTTTATTGCAAATCAATGCGCGAGGGCTAAATGCAAGAACATGATAAAATGATAAACAGTAAAAAATATAACAGGTAATGCTAATGCTACTTTTGATGTAGTTGTTGTTGCGTTTGCTTTCTTTTCTGTGTGCAGTGGAGTGTGAAATGGCCAACATTTTGGGAGATAATTAATTGGGAGGTGTTGATAGAAATGCAGTGTTCTGTAGGCTGGGAAGGTGAATAAAGCTAGGGAACATTTTGGTGACCATTTCAAATGACTTATTTCTTTCGGTGATATTATGAGGGCAATGGCAATTAAAGTGCATTTCTTCCTCCACTGCATTTTCTGTACAATATTTACATATTATAAATATCCGATTTCTTGTTCTTTTATGAGGTAGTACGATGCTCTATATCTCGGAAGGCACTCACCCATCACACGTATGACGCATTGGACGATCTGAGTTGGGTCGCAGAATGGCGCTGTTCCTGGGTCACAAAATAAATGACGTTTAGAAGAGTTTTGATTCTTGTCCCGGATGGAATTGATTGAAAACTGACTTAAGGGGCTTAAGATTTGGCCAGGCGATAAGTTCAAACCACCCTTAGAAATGATGGACCAGTGCAGTGATGCAAGAAAATATATTTTGTGTATATATTGTTGCAAAGAAGGTGTCCTTGAGATCTCAGGTGTTCCCTTGTAAGCCCCTGTCACACATAACCGAATATGGCCTTCCGCCAAACACTGCTGAACTCCTCCCAACCATAGGAGTAGGTCGGGAGCAAAGTCGGCTACGATTCGGCTGCGCCAGCCGAATGATTCAAAATATTTAAATCATTCGGGTGTGGATGCCATGGTTGGCTGGTTTTCGGGAGTAGGATGTCGGGGCGCAGTTAACATTAGCAATGAAATTTAACTCAAATTTGATTCCATTCGTACAGAAAGATAGGCGTTGCCTAATTTTGGTCAGAGTGCTTTCGAACGTCAGCCAATGGTTGGCTGGTGGTCGGGGGAAGGTTCCGAATGTGTGACAGGGCTCTAAGAGGACTACACAACACCTGGTAAGAAGAAGGGCCGGCAGCTGCAGTTGGCGACCACGTGTTTACTCCTGCACTCCAGGTAGCAGGCAGGCAGGGTGTAGGTGTCGTAATACTCCAGCTGCAGGTCCTGACAGTTCCCCCACGGAGGGCCGTGGTTCTCGTACTGTAGAGGGGGGAATAGATCAATCAGAGACAAGATAAAAGAAAGATCCATATTAATTACGTCGGTGAAGGTTAGACATCCAGGTAATAAGACACGCCAAAAAACAGTTACTCAAGCAACTGGATATGATTTAGGAAACGGTCAGACGTTTCAGGTAGCATCCACTACCTTTCATCAGTGACACAAGAGACTGCAGGAGAATGGAAGGTTTATAAGCACGAATTATTGATTGATATGCAAATAAGTGAAGACTGTTCTGGATACAATTGCTATTTTTACAGTAGCTATTATTGTTTACCTTTAGTCGCTTTAGTGTTCATATTCATATTCCTTATGCAACTGAAACATCTAGGGGCGAGTAGAAACACGAAGTCTCCTGGCTCCCGGGAATAGAACCCACGCCTATTGTTAGCAATTTTTGTATCATTCCATGAAGAGTGCTTTTTTGTCTTGCATATTTACTTCAAACCAATACTAGTGATTGCGATTATCCCGGGACTCACCGTTGTACCCAGAACCGTACTTTATCCAAAAACATGCTCGAGCTCTCAGGCACGGTTCTGGACAGATTATGCGTATCCAGAATCTTGCCTGAGGCAAATCGACGTTCTCAGATACGCTGAGACTATCCAAAACCGTGCCAGATCCTAACTCTAACCCGTTCAGGCATAGGACTAGATAGGCACGTTTCTGGATACAATAGAGACTACAATACTCAGAACCGTGTGCCTGATGCCTGATCCTAACCCGTTCAGGTACAGAACTAGATAGGCACGGTTTTGGATACAACAGACTGCCCATAACCTCTCCCCGATCCAAACCCTAATCCATTCAGACACATGTACAAGATAGGCACGTCTCTGGATACAATTGCTATTGTTAACCATAAGTGTTGTTGCCGTTATCAATTATCTCCGAGGCTATTATCAGTGCGACGGCTCACCACAGTCCGCTTGACGGTGATGAAGGCGTGGTTTCCCGGCGCGAGGGCGATGCCCTTGGCGTCCATCTGGGGAGGCTCGTCCTGGTCGTGCACCAGCAGCTTCAGCCCGACCTCGGAGTTTCCGTATGAGAAGAAGTTCTCCGTGTACTCCTCCTGTGGGAGTAAGTCAGTAACGGTGAATGAATGGATGGATAAATCAATCTATCAATCAATCAATTAATTGACCAATCAAGTCATGTCGCCACTGAAGTATAGAATTGTGTTTCTGGTCTATCGAGAAGATTTCCGTGTACTCTTCCGTGTGGTGTGGGAAGTCAACAATAATCAGTCAATCAATTCATCCATCAATCAAGACACCAATAGCGTCAGCTCATCAGTATTGCATTACGTTTCTCGTATATCTTCTATCGATCGCGATGTGCCCGAGTAGTTTAGGAAAAGTATCGATTTACATAGATGTATCAGAGGCAAAAAAATAGGGGCTTGATAATCCAGAAAATGAGAACATTGTACCAGTGATTTTTGAGAAACAATATCTCCCATATGGAACGTATTATTAAGAGGATTGCCGCACATACACTGATTACACCTATCTTTATATAAGCACTCCAAGAGCATATGCCGCGATATGCGTAGAGGTTCTTTTTAGTCACTCTTTAAGTTTCTTTACGTAACATTTAAATATTACCTTAACGATGCCTTCACGCGCAAGCAGTGTCACTCATTGACGCACCTTAAGTAAGCTTAAATCTTTATATGTATCCTAGCTTACCGCTCTGATGTCTATAAACACCATCATGCCGTTTCCATGCCCCTCCATCGTCTGCCATAGCATGTTCGACTTGTCGGAGTTGAAGGTGAAGCAGTTG